AGTTGTTTGTTTTGAGAACTGCTGGAAGCAGTAACAAAGGCACACTGTAGTCTTCTTGATATCAAAGAAATCAATAAGCACATTGTAGATTGTCTCCTATTATTAAAAATCTATGACCAAAAACACCACGGATTCAGTCAACTGTATAATATATTAAAAGGGTTGAAATGTCCAATTCCTGGTGAACGCGTTGTGTTAAATCACAGTCAAGTAGTCACAACTCAAACACAACATATTCCAGATATAGTTGTTAACAATGATGATGTCATAAATATCATCAACGTTGTTGATCTTGTTGAAGAAGACGAAGAAGTTGGTATGAATAATTGTAGACACCAACATGAAGAATAAACTCTTACAATGGAAAAACTAGACCCGAATTTTAATAGAGATACTCAGATTGAGTTGTGTTTATCTGACTGTGAATTTGATTGTGATGGACTGATGGATTACCTAATTAAAATTAACAAAGAATATTATTATGAAAATGTACTTGATAAATTATCAAGATTTCTTGTTTTGGCAAGAAATAGAAATGCTCGCAATAGAAGAGTACAAATGTTTGGGTGTAAAGAGTATTTAACGAAGAAGCTGGGTTTCAAAAGTGATGAATTTTACTCTAGTTTGACAAGTAACTTGTCAAAAGAAGTTTGGAAAAGGCAAAGCAGGTTATTGAAAGAACATAGGGGTAAGTTAGGAAGAGGGTCTTTGTTAAATGAATCAGAGTCAACATTAATAGTAGAATTTGTAAAGAGAAGAGAAGAAAGTAATGATCCTGTAAATTATTGTGATCGATGTCTTTCATAATTCACGAATTAAACCGGGAAGATGTCAACGCAAAGAGTTTGTATAGTTTCGTCACGAGAGAGAACAGAATTCAGACAGCAAAGGGCCAACCAATGGAAGAAGAAAGGGTGGCTGTTGATATGGATCAAATTGATGTCTATTTTGAAATACTGGACAAAGAATTGACTGGTATTCCACCATCTATCATCTTCAATTGTGACGAGTCGGGATTTCAAAAATGGGTTGACCAAATGGATCGTGTTGTTATTATATCTACAAGAAAAGGAGTCACTGATGTTAAAGTTCCGGTTTTAAGGGAAGGAAAAAGACAAACAATGTTAGGTACAATATGTATAGATGGATCTACACTTCCATTATTTTTTTATTGTACCCAAGATGTCCGTGGAGAAAAAATTGATTGTTAATGGAATCACTAAAGATAGAGTATGTCTTAAGTTCGCAAAAAGTCATTTATGACTAAAGTGTTGTTTGTTGAATGGCTCGATTGTGTGTTTTTACCATCAGTAGAAGAGAAGAGAAAGAGACTAAATTATCCCGGAAAAGTTGCACTCATCATGGATGGGTATGGGTCACACATGAGTCTATATTAAAATTCCGACTGAAAATACATTCGAGTTCTTCTAATGCCAGCGCACACTTCCCATCTTCTTCAGATGTTAGATGTCGGTATTTTTGGAAACCAAAAACCTGTGTGTTCAACGGATTGTGCTTTTACGTGAGAAGATTACTACGAACTATCATATAATGCAATCCAGATTCTCACTATCACCAACGCTTGTGAACGAGTAACTACAACCAAAAATATTATATTATCATTCATCACTTGTGGGTTAGTCCCAAGATTAACCAAACATTTAAAAGTGGTCTGTGAAGTGGTTAAGAAAAGTTGTAGAAAGATTGATGATTACTTTACTGAAGAAGAGATAAAGTTGTGTATGGCAAGTTTTGAGCCTAATTTGACAGATGAATTGTTAAGAAAGTTCTAATTTGACGGATAAGCATGGTATTGAGATTTATAATCATCGCATGGTCAAATTGACTTCGTTGCAATAATTCTGGAAAAATATCAACTGGTCTATCTAAGTGATCTTAATTTAAACAATCGAAATAAAACAAATATAGTATTATATAATTAAGTTAATTATAAGTTTGCTTTTGTTAATCATATAATAAAATTATCTATAAATTTACCAATTAAAAAGGGTTTATAATTTAAAGAGTTTTATGAACATAAAAACACATTGTATTTCATGAGTTTGTTTATGTATTCATAAAAAGGTCTAAAAGCAACTAACACAAAGAATCATTCTGTTTTAGAACTTACTTCTGAATTCAACAAGTCCTCAAATGACACACATGATACTAATAATTGTTTAGATACAAGACTTACAAACCAGTATGTATTAACAAATTAAATATTCTAACTTCAAATTGGTCAATAATTCTCGCCTAAAAAAACACTCATTTCTCAAGAACAGTCTTTTGCGATGGTTTTCATTTGGATGAATTCGGAATATTAACAATTAGGATCTTCAAATTAATTTAATTTTCGTTTTTATTTATGTTTTAGTTTAAAATAATAAAAAATAACAAATAAATTTTCAAAAACCAAAAAAAAACAAATTATGTTTTTTATGGTGATTATGAGGGTATTGTTTTTGGGATTTAAAATGTAAAAAATGTTTTTAGAAAAAAATAGAAGGGTACAACGTTTGAAGAAAGGACAACGTTGTTTGACTGACTTTATTATATTATTGAAGTCTGTCAATTAACTGTATTTTTAGTCAATTTTCAATGAAATGTCCCAAACTCGCGGGAGTAGAAAAGTTTCAAAAAGGGATTTTATAAATATAAATATTTAAAAACCATATAACCAATAACACAACCAATAACATTAATAATAATATGTGGCAGATTATTTCATTATATTATTATTTAATAGTATAATTTTTATATAAATATATAATTTGTTTTATTAAACATCGACCATTCTCATTACCTTTACAAAAATAAAACATTTGTTTTTTTGAAAGAATACCACCTTTAAACCATTGTTTGTGTGTCTCCATTTCATTCAATTTCCTTGTCCGTACTGTATGAATTCTAATGTGGACCCCCGCTTGGTATATCCGCGCCAAGGGATATTTTGGAAGTGGTGTATGGGCACACAAACAGATTGTTTGAATGCTTATTTATACACTTTTTTCAATGATCTGTTTTACTCAGAATCCACGACTCGAGGTGAATATATGGCATTTCTTTATTACGTAAAACATTCACAATATCTTCCCAATTTTTTATTTACTATAATTTTAATTTAAATATAATTTGAAATAGTTAATATATTCTATTTTTAGAAATGTTGGTCAATGTACTTTCTTTATTATAGAGTACTTTTTGAATACCTCTATTGAAAATAATTGAAAACAAATAGTTTTTTTACACAATTACAATTGTATTGAACTTATACAAAACGAATGCAATCAGTTTTCTAACGTTATATGTATCGAATATATCTAGTTCCTTTTGAACCATAAGGTATATTAATTTAAAATAATTTATCTTCTTTTTCCAGTTTTTTAGCTTATTACGTTTGTTTAGATATAAAAACTATTTCTATTTACCTAATATTTAGAATAATAGAGAATAAACTTATGACACTGTGTACAAAAGCAATTGTTTATATGTGTTTATATTGATTATGCAATAAAACAGTTCTTAAATATGTGTTATGTATGTTGAACCATACAACAGCTTTTACACAAATTGTTATTACTTGCAATAAAACAATAACAGTATACAATGCACAAACATAAATTGTTTATTCTATAGAGTTAAACTTCCATTGATTTCATTGAATTCTACATAGATTAACACTTTTTGTCAAGTGCTATTCTTTTGAAGTTCAACAAAGAAATGTTTTTTCCTTTGCTTTATACGTTCTATTTATATTATTGGTCAAATTATTTTAAGAATGTCTACAAACAAACCAAATATTCGGTATTTTTGTCTTATCTATCTCCTAATCACTTTCCGATATAAAAAATAAATAGAATTTGCTCACTTTTGATTAATAGGATAATAGGATTACAGTGGAGGTATAAACCCACTTAATTTGGAATAAACCCACTTAAGTAAGTAAATTTTGTGAAACTTTGGTTGAACTTTAAGCCAAAATAGAAAAAACTTAAGTACCACCCTTTATAAATAGGAAAATGGGTTTGATTGGGTCTTTTTTGTTTTTCGAAAAAAAGTCAATTTTGTTGGAGATGAAAAAAAATATTTGAAATGGTTATTTATTTTAATTAAAATAAACTTAAAATACAGTTTTTGTTTTTTACAAAATTCGTTTCGAAAAGTATTTTCTTTTAACAAAAAGAAGCTCAAAAAGGTTCAAAATGTGAAAAAAGAACAAGTAAGAGCAGAATTAACATACCTGAAAATAAAAGCCGGATTGAATTTGTGGTCTTTTTGTGCACATTATTTCAATGATTGTTTTTGAACAAATAACATAAAAAATATTTCATAAAAGTTGTTGTTAAGATTCAAAAGAAGATGATAAAAAAATAAAAAACACAAACAAATGAATTGAAAAAGACGAGAATTCAAACAAATAACAATAACAAACATTTAACATTAAAGGAAAAATTTGTGAAAAAAGGATAATATGAAGAATTGAGTTTTTTTGGATTGAGATTGAATTTATTATTTTTAATTATATAAACTTCAAAGTCGGTATTTTTAAATTAAACTTTTGAGCTTTTGTTGAAAACTGTTCTAAAGAAACATTTGGACCAAAAAAATAAGTTACATTTTGTGTAAATCGAAAAATGTCGTTTTTAACACAAAAATGAAATAATCGTACACTTTTTGGTCAAATATTAAATGAATTCTGGATTCGACAATTTTTCCACTCAAAGCATTAAAAAACGGTGTTTAAACTTGAAAAGGACTTAAAATATCA